CTGCAGTCTCTCGCATTTTTGTCCTACCACTTCTTCTGTCGTGCCCCCGCCGACTTCAGGTTCTGCTGTATGTGGTCGCTCATCGCCAACATCCGGTCCCGCATTAGCATGACATATGAGAGCACATCTTGACAACTGCGTTTGCTTGACACCCACGTCTCTTTCAGCACGTCCAGAGGGCCTCGCACGTCACGCCCATACAGTAGTTCGAAAGGAGAGAACCCAGTACTCTTTTGTGGCATTCCTCGGTAGGCAAAAAGGAGGAAGGGTATTGTCTTTTGCCCTCCTCCGCAGCACACTTCCGCAACATTGACTTCAGGGTCTGGTTGAAGCGTTCAACCAGCCTGTCCGTCTGGGGATGGTAGGGACTGGTACGAATGGCAGACACTCGCAGGAGTCCGGTACAGCTCCTGGAGTAGTTGAGACTGAAAGTAGAACCTTGATCAGTTAGAATCTCTTGAGGAATCCACACCCTCACAAATATCTTCACTAACTCCTCGGCGATCGTTTCGGCGTCAATGTTCCTCAGTTGTATATACCGCCTCGGGGTACCTCGTCCCGTAGTTGCACATCACGAGGACGTAGCTGTTCCCAGATCGGCTCCTAGGAAGCGGGCCCACTAGATCCATCGCTACCCTGCTGAACGGTTCGTCCACGACAGGGAGAGGGACCATCGGCACATGTGCAGGTTTGCGCTGGCTAAACTTCTGACAGGCCCCACAACTCCGACAGTACTCTGCTACGTCCTGACGCATAGACGGCAAGTAGAACCACTGCGAGAGACGTGCATAGTCCTTTTCCTCCCCAGGTGTCCAGCAAGAGGGATGGAGTGTGCCAGCCCTAGGGCCTTCTGACGACACCCTTTCGGGAGGACCAGATGGATCACTGGTTCAGCCTCTCCCTTGTCTCGTGGTTCCCACTTCCGATAGAGCAACCCTCCTCTTTGAAGAATGGCTTAGATGGTTGGTCGACTCCATCTCGTGCAACTTCCAGCGTATCGTCGGTCTCTTGCATCTGCTGCAGTTCTTTCTTGTTCAAACCGACTCCTTCGGCCTCTCGCCGCATGTGTCTGGGGTGATCCTTCGCTCTGATGATGCCGTGGCAGTGTCGTGTTTCGCATTTCTCTCAACGTGTGAGGGGCCGTCGAACTGCAACGTCCTGAAACAAGTCAGCATCCAAGGCGGAGAACGGATTGGTTTCCTCCACTGGACTTGGGACTGCTCCTTCCTGCTTGTCCCGAGCCTCCGCCTCAGCCTGTCTGCTGGCTTTAGCTCGGGATCTGGTAACAACCAGAGCATTGGGCTGTGAGGGTGCTGGTTCATGAGCTTTCCCAGCTCTGGTATGTCTGTGCCGAGGAGTAGCTTCTCTTCTACTGCTGCAGTGACGGGGTAGTGACACTCCATCGATCTCCAGTTTTACCGCTGCCAGAGGGTATGTGACGACATCTCCATGGGCACACCTTAGCCGAACTGTGGCCCCAGCTACCAACCTCTCCTTGGGTACAAGATACTGACGTACCATGGTGCACGCACAGCCCGTGTCCAACACCACATCGTCGACCACTCTCCCCTCGACCTTATAAGCCCCTGCGGTTGATCGGCTTGCCGTTGATCGATCGTTCCAGTGCCACACCCCCAGCACTACCGTCCCCAACCATCTCCCCGTCCTCCACACATCCCCATGAAGTCCCCACTCGACCACACCCTACCATGCCCTGCTCCTCAAGACCCCTACCACCGTCACCTCCACTCACCAACCCGCTCCCTTTCTCCCACACCCCCACCTGAGCCACAAGGGTCACCTCCACTTCCCCTACCCCCAACATACCATCACCAACCGCTCCACCAGCTCCACCCTGCCCCTCTGCAGCCCTGCCCCCAAACCCCTGTGAATCACTTGTCTTCATGCCTCCACAGTAGAGGTCACTCGGACTGTCTCGGGCCAGGTGGCCTCACTGATGGCAGTTGTAGCATCTCCGTTCAGTCTGATCTCGCCCACGTTCCTTCTTAGCGCTCGTATCATTCGGCTGCTTGTCCTTCTCCTTGCAGTTGACCTTCCTGCTGGCAGATGTGACACCTTAGGTTGTCTTTTCCGGGACCATCCTTCCTTGGCCTGTCTGACTTGGGCCCATCGAGACGCTTCCGCCGGCGAGCTGATCGGTAGTCATCAGCCATAGAACTGGCCTGTTCTAACGTTGTGGGTTATCTCTCGCAGAGCCAGATCCTCAGGTCTCCAGGTAGGGTGTCCAGGAACTGCTCCAGCACCACTTTCTCTGGACGGAGTCGCACTCAGAGAGCCACTTCTTGGCCAGGTCTTGGAGTCGTGGTGCGAGTTCTGAGTAAGCCTCCTGCTCTTTCCGTCTTGCCGCTCGGAACCGTTGACGATAAGTATTGGAACTTATATCGTACCGGCTTTCTTCACCTCCTCGTAGTCTCCTGCTGGAGTGCAGCGTGTGCCTGTTGCGCATGACCAGCTACCTGAGGGGCTAAATGGACCACCCTGATTGTCCTGTTCACTCTGTCGGTCAGTGGTGCCGACGTCGCTTCGCGTACGTGCTGCGCCTTCGCCCGCTGCTCCCTTCTCTCGTCCTCCCTCCACCGTAGGCTTGTACGTCGCCCCAGACCTCGTGGTCATCTCTGGTAGGTCCCGCCGATCGACTTACGACGTCCTATCCCACCGCTGCCACCAAATGTCACGATGCCACCTCGATACACGCAGGCCAACGCTGACTCTTACTGAAATTGATTACCACCATTACAGTAGCGTAGAGAGAGAGACACCGGAGCTAACGGCCAGCTCCACACACACACCATGACCACGACACCACTCCCCCGACTGTTGCCAGATAGACCGGTTTTACAGAACAGAAAAGCGTGCGCTACATGATTACACAACTGAACATAACCGCAGTACAATACTATAGCAGTTTGAACTAAGCGATAACGTGACCTGAACAATCCTAGTACAATAGTATAAGCGAATGACACACGTACACAATAGATAGTTTCCTGGAGTTCACCACAGTCCACCATAAGTTCCAAAACCAATAGCTGGTACCGCTCTGCCCGTGTTTAGCACTACAGTTTTCCAACTAGCAAAACTGGTACTGCTCGCTCGACTACTAGTCACCTGTACACGACATCCCAGGCCGTATCTTGCTCTGCAATCAAAAGAAGAACATTTTTTCTGAAGTTCATTCCGAATTACCCTCCCTTACCTTACTCTCTTACCTTCTTTCTCCTTATTTCCCTTCCTTATGTTTCTTCACCATCACACAACACAACGCGAACCAAGTACCGTTACCCTCGCTGCGCATGCGCGCCAAGGGTTACAATAAAATTCGCGCGCACTTGTCTGCATAATTACTAGAATAATGTTCAACATTGTTGGCGAGCGGGAGCGACCCAACTTGGGATTTGCCCGGTAGATAAAAGAAGCGCGTACAAAGACGCGCATGCGCACTTACACGACGTACGACGGTCTATAAAATCGCGCCGTTCGTACCACTAGGTTAGCTCGCTCCCGCTCGCCAATTATACCGCGCCGCTAATTAACCCTCGCATGGGCAGCGAGGGTTCAGTACTTGGTCTGTCCGTCTGTCTGTCTGTCCGTCTGTCTGTCTGCCCGTCCGTCCACGTTTTCTGCCACCACGCGCGACAAACAGGTAAAATAGCGATACCAACGGGTTCAGCGCTACACCCGCTTCATTTATAAAATTGGGATTTTTGTAAAAGTGCCGAATTCAGAAGTTATGGCACGAAAACCAAGTTAACAAGCCAATATGCAAATTAGCACAGGCTTACCTCGACCGGGTCCGCTTGCTCTGTGTACCTTGGAGGCACAAGACGTCACAACGAAGGGCGTTTATCGACTCCCACATGCTATCTACTATGTAGCTAGCCCGTGTCAGACTCTTCGCGAGCTACTCCACGAGTAAACGAATACTACAAATAGCCCAGCCCATCAATTAGCGGTGCCGCGCATGCGCATTTCGCCGAGGGTTTGCACTTTAGTGCTTTTCATTTTTGATGGAGGTGGTTTGGCCGGTCAGCTATACCTCGGTGGGTGCGAGTATTTGGCCAGCAAGCTTGCACGGGCAAGCTACAGCATACAGCACGCTCTCTGTTGTTAC